TCCAAATTTGTTAATTCCTTTTAATGACTTACCTTATTTAATAATACATATGTTGCACAAGTTGTAACTTTCTTTAATCTATTTTAATTAATTTTTTAATCTATCAAATATAATAATTCATATTAAATGTCTTACCTTATTTAAAAACTACATTACTTGCACAATAATGAAATTAAGCCAATAATATTAATTGGTCGATCACTAATAATTTACTAACCTTACTAATAATTAATACATGTATTAATAATTTTCCTTATTATATATTACCTGCGCAAGAATATAAATTAATAAAATATGTATTAATAAATTTCTTTATTACAAATACGGAAAACAATTCACTCTTGATATCATATTGATTACATTGTTTAGTGGGATTTATCGATTTGTATCTAATTAGGTTGTTTGCTATTATTAACTTACCTTATTAGTATTGAATATAAAATTTCTAATATATAGTTTCTATATACTGTTTCTCATATGATTAATCGTATAGAATATATAATATTCTCAATAATTTATTAGAGAATATTCTATTTATTAGCTTATCATGCAAGCTAAATCATTGAGAAACATCCATCAATTTACTATATATAAGACATTCACAGTATGAGAAACGAAGCCACTGAACTTTTTATTCTGAAATTTTTATGTTGATATTGTTTTTGTTATTTTACATCATTAAGCTTTACATATACATATTTCATCAGAGCTGACTTTTATTTTGGTTTATATGCAGATGTCCTATTATAACGATTTCACCACGATGCAGGAAAATTTTTTTTATCTTTCTTTATGATTTGATTAATCATAGGTCTTATCTTTCTATTTAATGATTGTTTGTTAGAGCTTAGAAGGAGAAGAATGCTTTCATAGGTATTTTTCTATTGGTTTTTTAATTTACAATTTTAGTTTATATGAGCAGACCAACGTTTACGACGTTTCCTCCTGCGGATCCATATGTACTTAAATCTCTCTTCACATTCATGTTATTCAGAGACATGAACATTACAAATGATCATATCATCCAAAACACGTAAACTACAATGTAAGTTTCATGCTTTGTTACTTTCTCTATGTTTTTCAAATAATTATTTGCTTATACACTAAAGAAAAAAATCTTTAATCAATATTTTATTATAAAATTTAGTATAACTTTTATACATTTTATCAACTTTGTACTGAAATATGATATTATACAATTTATCATATTATAAAATGTATATCCTATAAATTCATATATGTAAACTATATATTTCTTTTTTTGTCATCTTTTTTTTGTCATCATAAACTATATAGTTCTATGTCAATTATAATATAACTTTATACAATTTATCACATAATAAATTATGTATATAATTCAGAGTTAGAATATGATATGTGTAACATTTTTGTATATTTCTAACACTAATGTTAGAATTAAATCGGTTAAATACAAATTTCTATATTAAATATAAGTGATAAAACATAATTATTATATATTTATATAGATTTACAATATATCAAAATCAAAACTATTTATTATTCTTTAATTTTATAACCATATTATGGTATTAGGAAATATATACCTTGTTGGTAAAGGCTTTTAATTAGTTAATTCGTTTATTAATAACTTGCCTTATTTTGTTATCAATTACTTATGCAAGTTGATACGATGATTAACTTATTTTGCCATCAGTTACTTGTCTTAAATGTTATGTTAATTATTGCAAATTTATGACAGTCAATTTTTAATATTCTTTAATTGCTTCATGTTTATTAAAAGGAAACAAATATTACAAGAACCATAAGACTTTATATATCTTAAGAAATGTCTTTACAAGAATTTTTATAACAAATATTTCAGGAACCATAAGACTTAATGATAAAATATGATTATTAATTCATAATTATTCTTTAAATTTGATATATTCTGAATTTTTTATTATATATAATTCTAAACAAAATAATATTTTTAGGAAGTATTTTTTTTAAATATACATTTAATTGACAAGTTAAATTTTCTTGAAAATATGTCTATTAAGTAAATTTTTTGTTCTTTTATGATGTCATTTATTAGTAACTATATACATGTGATATTGCATTAAATGTGTATGTTCTTTATTTCCTAATTAGTTAATTCGGAAATATGATGATTACCTTATTTTGCTATAAATTACTTGCATAAATTTATATGATAATGGTGATTTGAGTTAGAAAAGCCCAAAACTATTATCCATTTAGAAAACCACAAATATAATGGTGATTTGAGATTTAGAAAAGCCAAAACTATTATCTTTATTATATATATATATATATAAATATGGATCTTAAAAATGTAATTTACTATATATATATATATATATATATATACATTTGTTTGTTTTTTCTATTAACAGATAAATAACACAGATGAAAGACCGTTTGTAGTTGACTACAAACCATTTTTCAGTTTGTTTCAATAGCGATATGCAAATTCAATATTATTTTCCTCGTAATAATATTTAGAAATCTATTAAATTATTTTATATTATACAATTGCTAAAAAAATTGACAATTTTTTGCAGGTTTCTATGGGATTTTTTAATTCATAATTGTTCTTCTTATTTTATATTACTTATGAATTATATTTAAACTTTTATCACATTTTCTATGAGATTGTGATATTTATGAGATTTTTATCACATTTTTTTAATATGTTACTGTCTCCTGTATAATTTTCTTACATTTTTTTTTAATAGTTAAGTTTTATTAAAAACATACTAATGTTGTTAATTTTTTTTTTACTTTAGTTAACTTCCATTTGTTCTATTCTTATATACTTTTTGTGACTTTTTTAGTTTTTGTTTCAGTTTAATATTGAATTTAGTTCACATACTTTATGTGTATATGTTTTAAAACATAATTTTTTCTTTTAAAAAATTAAGCGACAAAGAGCCTATTTAAACCCATCCAAAAACAAACCGACCTGAATATAAATTGAACTGGACATAAACCACACCAAACCAGATTAAATAAGGTTTATTTCAGTTGAAAAAAAATATATATTAAAACCGAACTAAATAAACCAAACTGAAAATGTAACGATTTGCCCACCCCTACTGCATCCTAGAGATTTGCGCAAATCTTGTCTCAGCATTAAAACTTTCACTTGTTCCACTAACTCCCACATTTGAACTCAATAGATACTCATGTCTCAGTATATACTATATTTTTATACCCGCACAGGGTGCGGACGGGACACCTAGTATATCTTGAACGTGGAATCACTATGGAATAACTTTGGAAACGAAGAAACTCATCGTCCCTTTATAACATGTTCACCTTCCTTTTCTTTCAAAGTGTTGAAAAGAGATTCTTGATAATCGAGAGGCGTGCTGTAATTTCCATGAGAAAAATGTCTTATTTTGAAATACTAGTCATTTCTTACAGAGAAGAATCTCTATAATATTATTTGAGAAGTCACTTTCTTATGTGTCGCACTCACGTTAACTTTCACGATGGTTGATTACTATGATACCCTTAATGAATTAAAAAATATATTTAAAGATTATTATTTCCTTTTCAAAATTTTCCAAATAACAATCTCTATAATATTATTTGAGAAGTCACTATCTTATGTGTCGCGCTCACGTTAACTTTCACGATGGTTGATTACTATGATACCCTTAATGAATTAAAAATATATTTATAGATTATTATTTCCTTTTCAAAATTTTCCAAATAACAATATAAAATAAAAAAAAACATTTATAAAGTTTACAAAACTATTTAAAACGAAAATATAAGTATATAGAAATATGGTTTCATAAAAAAGGAAAGTTCACAAAATAGTAATATTTAATTTAAGTATATTTTAAATAACATAAAATATACTTTTGAAGTAATAAAATACTTCATATCTATATCTTCTTAGATGAAAAACAATATTTATATATAATGTGACTCCATAAAAAAATTTCACACAACTAATCTTGATATTAGAAAAAGAAATATTTTTTTCTTTAAAAAAAATAATTTTAGACAATAATATATATATATATATATATATTCATTGTAATTGTTTTTTTTGGTATATCTATCTATTTTATTAGATGATTACATAAAATAATTAAGTAACATAAACTGATATATGTTTAATTGATTTTTTTATAATTTATATTTTTGACATGTAAATTATATTTTAGTTATATAATATAGTTTCTCAAAAAATAACATTTTTACTGCATATTTTAACAGATATTAAAAACAAAACTAAAAATAAATTTTAATAATAACCATTTTTTGATTAAATAACTACAATTATTTTAAAATATAATAACACTATATAATTTAACGAAGTAGATATAATATATTTTAATTGTTAAAATTATACGTTTTCTTAATAATTCTTTTGATTTTTAATTTTATGTTTTTGTGTTTGTGGAACTTAATTAACCATAATCAAAATACTTAAGCAAACCAGAATCCTTATTTTTAAAAAATTATTTAAAATAAATTTTAGTTTTTCATCCAATCAGTCTAAATATTGTAAATATTGATATGTGTTCATAAGCTTCCAAAAATATATTAGTTACTTATGTATGTAATTTAGAATCAGAAAATTTAGTTTTTATTTTTTTCTTTCTAAGCACAAAAAATCTTAAGTTATAGATATACTTATATTTCTAAGATAACAACCGGCATAAATGCAAATAGGACAATTAATCAAAAAAATACTATATTTAAGTTAAAAAAGATTATAGTTGAATTCAAAGAAATATATAGAATCTAATATATCCAAATGATAACTAAATCAACCGTAAAAATAATAAAACTGACAAAATATAACATATCTAAAATTATATATATAATTAAATTAATATAATATTATTAATATAAATTATACCTACAAATTATAAATTAATTTAAAATTTAAAATAAATATCAATAAATTATTATAATATATTTATTTTATAAATATTTATGTCCGTGCATGAGCACGGGAAAATCACCTAGTACTCTAACTATTGGCTAATATGGTTCTAAGTCGATTTGATGCTTGAGGTATCAGTAATGCCATCGACATTACTTTCTTTACAGAAAAAAAAGTTTCCGAAGCTTAACAACCAAAGGTAAGCACGCACAATTTCATTCTATGTGTTCAATACGCAATGGTACTAACCTGCTAGCTAGCGAATGGTATTGAGCTAACTTA